TGTCAGTGTTCACAAACAACTAGTATTAAGGCAGTCTTCTAAAGCAGGATGTGCTACACGTTCAGAAAGTTAATGCAGTTAATCTTTATAACACTTTGATTATATAGCTAGATTCTAATACTGGTATTAAGGAAAACACAGCAGTCCACTCACTTTTAAATTACACAAGTTCTCAGTGACAACTCCATTGCTAAGAAATTGATATGCCATCAAATCACATCAATCTGCAAAATGACCAAATAAGATGCCTCTATGTATTAAGTTTGGTACTTTGGGTTCCAGTCACAATTTCCAAGCTAAACAAGGGGCTTTTCTATAATGCCCCAAATCAATTACTGACAAGCAAGACAAATATGCCAATTCAAGAAAAAAGTTATTTAGAAAAATTAGAGAACACAGACAAACACTTTACACATTGAGCATATTTCCATGTGGCCATCAGAACCCTCTACCATAAAAGCAAAACTTCTTTTCCTTTGACAAATTGTGGGCAGCACTTCAGCTCTGCATCTCTTGTAAAAATTCTGCAGCTGTACATTCAACACGTAGCTGCTCACAGTATTTCAACACTTAAAGTGGCACTGGACGTTAACTTGATTCTGCCAGTGCACCATTTGAGATACTTAAGGATCACTCACCACAGTGAAGATGTACTTAAGAGAAGTAATAGACCCCAGTGCTGCAGCATCTAAACAAAAATTATGTTCTCTACCTGTGCACAGCATACTGTCATGGTGGGTACTTTCCATCTGGACTCCTGAAGCACTTTCTCTCCTGCTAGGCACAGTAATCTTGAGACTAGCAGGTATCTCTCTCTAATTTCTGAGACACTAACCTTAAGCTTTAACTAGATACAAAGCCTGAAAAGTTCACAATAATTTGCAGTCTTAAGCACGTATGTGGTTTATCTTCCATTCATTTTACTGTCTCCTTGTATAACTATAGCTTCCTGAAGCTTCACTTTTGACTACATAATTAGCAAAAAATCTCAGACTTTTTTTGATTATATGCGGTTTTATCAGGAAAAAAAGTGGCATATGGAAAGTATGAAACAAAGAACAAGCCAGGACAAAGGCACTGAAATGATGTTTAAAATTATTCAAAGAATTACCTGGGAACAAAGGAAAAAAAATTAAAACATGACTCCCAAAACACTCAATCCACCTGCTTTACTGGTGCTAAATTATTAAATCACTAAAATTGAAGTTATGAAAATAAATTGTTGCTTCTCCTCTAGTGCCACCTTGTACATTTAAGTGAAATTCAACTCCTCATGTTGAATACTGTACAAGGAGTGAAATGCATTAGATTCACAGAAAAAAAAAAAATTACGTTACAAGGGATTTCAGGAAGTCCTTGATACAATTTCACACTCAAAGCCGAGCCAACCTCAAAGCTAAAATCAACTTCAGGATTAGGTGAGGATGGCCAGAGACTTGCTCGGTCATCATTTTTCATATCTCTAGTAAGAGAAATTTCATAACCTCTCTAAACTCCCACCCTGGTTCCCTGTTAGACCACCCTCAGGATGAAAACCTTTTTCCGACTGTATAACTAGAATTTTCCTTCATCTAACTCACGTTCACTGTCCTTTTCTGTTTGCCTAACCACCTCAGAAAAGTGTGTCTCTTGTCTTCTTTAGAAACATAAAGTCATTTGGGCTTGAAGGAACCATAGGATTTCACTGACTCCAACCTCTAGCTCAAGCACTGACTCTACCTCCAACTGATTCAAAAGCACAGAATAACAGAAAATCTAAGATACCAATTAGCTAAATGGATCTCTTTTATACATTTGAAGCAGCAAATTGATTTACATCTACAATCAGGTTGCCAAGAGACCACTTGCACAAAAAAATTTTTTTTTGTTCTCACATACACTCAGATGCACAATACACGTTGAGAAAATTATGCTAGCTAGGTTTGGATGATTGGGGTCAAAATTAACTCCTGTGGCTAGGAGACAGCCAAACTCAAGAAAGTATTCATGACAAATCTGTGTGCTTCCACTGCCTTCAGGAATAACAGCCCATATATTTCAACCCAATTCTATTATTATAATATTTAATGAGTCTTTATCTCACATTTTCCTCTTCTACAGGTCAGACAAATACATATACTTATTCCATAAAACATACAGCACTTTTTATCAATGTTTCTCAAAACCTGAGGCTTAAACACCCATTAGAGAGAATGTAAATGTACTGAGAGGCATCTGGGATCTGCCCTGCCCACTCAGACAAAAGTTGGACTGAAATAGGCACAAGAAAGACATTAGCTGCAAATACCAGGTCTGGTATTTGAGACACATTGAAAAAGGAAGCAAGACTTTTCAGAGGAAGCTATTTATTTTTCAAACACGATCAGAGAAACCTCAGGTCTCTCCACATCTCTAAATAAGCAAGTAAAATTGCTAAGTAAGTGGAAAATTAACTGCTTCCCATAATGGGGAGGGGGAAAAGGGGAAAGGAGGGAGGGACAGAAGCTAAGGCTGGAATAACAAGATAATTTTAAATTATTTCATATAAACTTGCTTAAATATGTCATAGGACAAGAATAAACCCTTGTGTATGTATTTGTGTCAGAGCTGCAGGAGACAGCTATTTGGGTAAGGACCACAGGCTGCCTAGGACAATTGAATTCCTCCTATTTAAATGAATTCTGCCAATTTAAATGAGTTAAACTGTTTTTAACAGTTAAGTTGAAGGTACTGATGACCCTACTAACTAAAAGGTTGTTAATATTTTTAAAAGTATGATGGAAGAGAAGTAAACCTTCACTAATGAGATAGACAAGTATAGTCACAGTCACCTTTCTCAGTCACTAAGGACTGTCACTCGGTCGATATTTCACTTGAAACTCTTTCACATAAAAAGGTCATATCTGCATTTTTAATGTTACCACTTCTGAAGCAACTGTACTGCTAGAGGATATAAGTGATTTATACTGTTAATATCTACTTCATTTGAATTTTGAAGATTTTAGTTTTTACTTCTTTAAGAGAAACTGTTCTTAGAATAACTGTACTTTGAAATACAAACCACTCAGTCTTCTGAATGTGATGGCTACTGTCTCTGCTGAATATATAAAGGAAGGACACTTAAATTCTTCCAAATTGTTACAGCTTATTTAATAAGCCAATAGGTTTATGTAGTTTGACTAAATATAACTTGGTTAAAATTTTATTAAGTCAAACAATGAGGATGTCATCACAACAAACATTTTTAATTCAGTCATCTAACAAACATTTTTAATTAAGTCATCTAACAAGACAGCTGGCAAAATTCCTGGTAAAACAGAGCTCATCTAGACTTTGTGAATCTGAATGTAAGCATAATTAAGGAAACAATCTAACCTACAAATTGCAATCACATTGCAATCACTTGCAGTACTATATTTTAAATTTAAGATGATAAACAAAATAGCAACCATGCTTAGCTTCTTACGTATTCTTATCTTGTGACTGCCTGGGGGCCTAAGAAAAAGTTCTAGATGAATTTTTTCTGCAGTTGGCATTTTCAGAAAACCTTTACCATGCAGACCTGGTTCATGTTGCAGCCTTTTGCAGATCTTTTGAGATGTCTCTACCCTCAGTTGTCAGAAAGCAGTCAACATTTACTGGATAAGCCAAACAGCCATCATGACTGTTCATATCCCATTGCTTCGGCAAATGGAAAGAAACCAAATTACAGCATTCTGCCACTCAGATGTTGAGAAGAATAGGAAGAGACCACCAGTTCTGAAAGACTGACTTTGCAGTGCTCTTATAGTATAGGTATTATAAGCTATCAAAGAACCTTGATTCTCAAATCGCTGCAGTTATAGAGATTATGTTCTTACTATTCCTTCTCTTCCTCTATGGGATAAGGAACCACAAAAGAGGTGGAATGGCCCCTCAGCTATTCACAGTCCCAAGCATGAATTTAAACAGCCATCATTTCTCAGTTAGGTTAAGCACGTGTGTAATTCCTTCCAGGACTGGAGGGAAATACTGCAGCTGGACAGACAATTAGCAGGACATTAGCAACAGTTTTGGACTAACATATAACCACATTTTAGCGAAGTGCTGGGGTTAAACCCCCAGCCCTGAATGAGAGCTGGTAGATGGATGATGCCCACAACCAGGACCCTCCTGTTTTGTTTTCACTCAGGGTCTGGCCAGCCTTGGGTGGGAACCAACTAGGAGATGACCACCAGGTGCCTCCACCTTTCACATTAACCTGGAGGCGTGGCAAGAAGCCACCACTATAAGAACTGACTCTGCTTGAAGTGCAGTTGGGTGGCCTGTCCACACAGTGCATGTGGTGTGGGGGTTCTGGCAATTGAAAGGGCTCCCCAGCTCTTCATAGGACATGGAGCTCCCAGGACAGCGTGGCAAGATGATCAGACTGATCACCTGGGTCCTTCCATCTACCATGGCATGGTTCCAGAGTCAGCTCACTCCCTTCTGCACACCCTATGCAGTGAGTGAATGTGTTGACTTATTCCTCCTTACAGTGGTCTGGCATGTTGGGTCCTTTGTCTATGATTTAAGAGTGGATGGAGGACTTTGGCTGCTGGTCTGCCTGTTGATGATAATATCCTTCTTTGTCAGGCAAGCAGTCAGCAGAAGACTTAGTTATTTCATTTTTGAGACAGCACAGCCTGAACAGTATGTCTTGCCTGCAGCTCAAAAATCATTTAGAAAATAAACACACAATTTATGTTCTTAATAAAGGAGTAGGAAACAGAGGTAAAGGTGTCTCCTCCCAATCCATTCAATGACAAATATCAGATGGATTCACTGTGACATAAAGCAAACCCATGCTTGCTATTAGAAGATAATAAACTGACCTTGTGCACTTCTGCCAATAGCTGTAGTTACTTGTCTTCTAAGATTAGAGTTGTAACTAGAGTAGATACAAAAACTACATAGGTTTTCATGGCTGTACCTCTCCAAAGCAATGCTGTCTTTTCTTCTTTGGTTTACTATAGACAATTTTAATCCAACTCAAGACTTACATGTATTGAAGAAACTGCTTGATCTGCGTTGCTCAAATGTCACAGTCCGGGGGGCAGAGATGGAACACCTTGTTTGGAAAGCCCATGCCAGGCTAGAATAGGAACAGCAACTCCCTTTCACTGGCACTGAAGCAAACCCTGAGAATGAAGATAAGATAGAAAGGTGTTTATATACAGGACCTCTTGGTACCACAGCATTTCCTGCAAAAAACATACACCTAAAGGAAAAACAGTAAAGTTTACTCATGCAGTGTAGTTTCCATAGGGAATCAGACTTGAACTTTTTGTTGTTAAGTGCAAAGCAAGCTGCAGAAGGTGTGTGTGCATAGGTAATATTGAAATAGAAAATGCCACAAAAAGGCGACTAGAAGGGCTTCTAATGTATTGCTGACAGTGAGAATACACCCTCAAAAAGGAGAAATATTGTCCTAACAAGAAAACACGTAATAATGTTCCTGGACACAGCCAAAAGTGATTAGTAAGTCAAAATACTGTATGTGCTATGAAATCAAATATGAAATCAGCCCAATAATCCTATTCAGTGTATTAATTAATTGTCTGGATGGTGGGGTAGAGGGTACCCTCAGCAAGTTTGCTGATAATGCAAAACTGGGAGGAGTGCCTGATACATCAGAGGGTGGTGCTGCCATCCATGGGACCTTGACAGGCCAGAGACATGGGCTGACAAGAACCTCATGAAGTTCAAAGGCAAGTGCAAAAGTCCTGCACCCAGGGAGGGGCTGCACATATCCTGAAGGACAAATGGCTGAAAAGTAGCTTGGCAGAATAGAGCTTGGGGGATCCTGGTGGCCATCAAGTTGACCATGAGCCAGCAAAGCAACCTTGCAGCAAAAAAAATGCCAGCGGCATCCTGGGTTGTGTTAGGAGGACTGTTGCCAGTAGGTTGAGGGAGGTTGAGGTATCCTTCCCCTCTATACTCAGCACAAGTCATATGGACTCCTCATATGTGGGGACATACTGGAGAAGGCACTGGGTTCTTCACTGAGATGGTGGTTGGTCATTGGAACAGTCTCCGCACAGAAGTGGTCATGGTACCAAGTCTGTCAGAGTTCAATGAGCATCTGGACAATGCACTTAGTCATATGCTTTAGTTTTAGGTCATCTTGCAAGGAGCTTAACTTGATCCTTATGGATCCCTTCTAACTCAAGATATTCTACAGTTGATTCTATGTGAAAGACCAGTGAAGGGTCACAAGGTTTAAGGAACTGAAGCATTTCTCATAAGTGGAGAGTCTGAGAGAGCTGGGACTGTTCAGCCTGGAGAGAAGCAGGCTCAGGACAGTTCTGACCTATGTATATAAATATCTGAAGGGAGGGTATAAGGAAGACTGAGGCAGGATCTTCTCACTGGTGCCCAGAGACAGGACAAAAGACAACAGGCATAAATTTAAAAACACAAGCAGATGACCTCCAGAGGCTTCCGAGCTCAACTGTTCTGTGATTCTGTGAATTCATGAACCTGACTCTCTCTGGCTTCCCAAAAGGAGAATGTACCTCCAGCAGTACCTTCTCCATGGCCCTCCAGGTCTGATTCTGACCAAGCTAGCCAATTACACATGCTCTTATCTCCAGAACAGATTACTTCAATATAGCATGGTGGTGAATTTTCTGCCAGGTGGCTCAGCTAATGCAGAAAGGTTTCTCTTCTGTTAGCCAAAGGGAGCATGTTGTAACTGCTAAGGCTCAGGTGCTTACCTGCAACAATGAAAGCAAGATATACTTTCATTTACTGACCAGCACAGAGAGGTGGTTCTTCAGAAGTAATCAGTAACTTACATAATCAATTCAAAATGGGCATATTCAACAAACTAAAAAGGGATACACTGTTCTTGAAATCAATTATTCAACCCATTATTCAGAAAAGTATAATGATTTTTTTTTTAAATCTACTTCTTCTGAAATGGTATTTAAATTAAGTCTTTTCAGCTAGATTTTAAACACAGAAAATATGCATGACTTTTGTCATGTTCTGTTACAATCCAGTATCAAAAAAACAACAAACCATTTTTTAAAGTCAGGACAAGAGCTCCTTCTAGACAGATAATATTTTCATTTAACTGGGGTGATGTAACAGGGCTTACAAAAAAACTCCTCTCAAAGCAGTCTTAAAATGTAAATTTATTACCATTTATTCCTATGAAAAGTTAAAGTTGACAATAAAACTCTTATTGTCAAATTACTTAATTTCCACGAAATAAAAAGCAGTCTAGAAACAAAAAAGAAAAATATAGGAACAGAAGATTCCTAAATATCTGGTTAAACTCACAGAGAATGCAGAATATATCACTGAGTCATCGTCTGAGGCACATACAAACAAGATGCCAGGCACTACTCAAAACACTGAACTTCAATCTGCTGCCAAATCAGCAACCACTCCTAATACATAATGATAAATCCGTGAGCACACAATTTTTGAGCTGTTCTGTGATTTTAATATGCATTTGATGACGAACTGTTGATCTACAAGACTGAATTAACAGCTCATGTGAGAATTGTCATCAAAATTATGTGAAGTATAAATCTATTTTTTGGAATGTCATGCAGCTGAAAAAGTTATTTTATAAAAAAATAACATCATGTATCTAAAATGAATTTAAAATTGCACTGCTGTATCAGGTCTGGCTGAGCTGATTTCCCCATAGCAGCCCTCCTGGTGCAGAGCTGTTGTGCTGGGAGTCAGAAGGGTGTTGGTAACACCCACGTTGTGACCACCACTGAGCAGTGCTCACACAGCACCAAGGCTCTTTCTAAGATTCCCCCCCCCAAATAGGATGGGGGGCAGGAGCTTGGGGGGAACATAACCAGAAGAGCTGACCCCAACTGATCAAGGGGATACTCCACACCATATGACATCAACTTAACTATAAAGCTGGTACAACAGGGAGGGGCTACTCCTTGGTCCTCTGGAGCAACCACTATGCGTTTTGGAGCCCTGCTTCCCAGGAAGGGGCCAGACATCGCCTGCGGATGGGAAGTAGAGAATAAAACTTTTTTTTCCTTTCTCTTTGCTTCTGAACACAACATTGCTTGCCTCTGCTTTCTAATTAAACTGCCTTTGTTTTTACCCACAAGGGTTTTTGTCTCCATCTTATTTTCCTCTTTCCTTTTTCACTCTGTGGAGGAGGGGGCGGGTGATAGAGTGGCTTGGTGGGCTTCACTTGCTCAGCCAGGGTCAACCCACCACAACTACGTGGCAGTATTTCCAATTTCCCTTGTTGCACTTTAATTGCCTACAGCTAGAAGCTGCTGCAAAATACCTTGCAAAATCTAATATCTTCTTCATGCACTTACAAATTTTGTCATACCTCAAACGTGACTTGAAGTGGCACACTCTTCCCCTCTCCACATACTTGTGAAGGCCTTGTAGAGGCCTGATGGCCTATAAATGATCTGTGGGGCCAGCAGGTCCAGGAAAGTGATTCTGCTGCTCTACTCCACTCTGGTGAGACCTCACCTGCAGTACTGCTTCCAGCTCTGGAGCCCTCAGCACAGCAAAGACATGGACCTGTTGGAGTGGATCCAGGAGGGCTACAAAAATTATCTAAGGGAGAGAAAACCTCTCCTATGAAGAAAGCCTGAGAGAACTGGGGTTGTTCAGCCCCAAGAAGAGAAGGCTCTGGGAGACCTTATTCCAGCCTTTCGGTAGTTAAAGGAGGTTTATAAGAAAGATGGGACAAACTTTTTAGCAGGGCATTTTGCAATAGGGCAAGGGGTGATGGGTTTGAACTAAAAGAGAGATTAGGCTAGATATAAGGAAGACATTTTTTACAATGAGGGTGGTGAAACACTGGATGTGTTGCCCAGGGAGGGGGTAGATGCCCCAATTCTGGAAGCATTCAAGGTCAGCTTGGCTGAGTCTCTGAGCAACCTGATCTAGTTGCAGATGTCCCTGCTCATTGCAGAGGGGTTGGACTGGATGTCCTTTAAAAGTCCCTTCCAACCCAAACCATTCTACATTTTCATTGTCTTTTCACAGACATGAGCATATCTACTGATAATTTCCTTGAAGAAGCTTCTTTTAATACAAAGACTTAGTAACTCCTAGTTCTTAGCAGCTTTTTGAGAAAAAAGAGAAAAAAATATCTGACATTTATGAATAGATGCATTGGTTCAGGCTAGTGGCCTAAGTTCAGTGTCCTATGTCCAACAAGCACTATGAACATCTTCCTGGGAATGAGTATAAAGTGAGTGACTATGTACAGTACTGCCCTTCATATTTTTTCAGACTCTGACTACTTTCAGTCTAGGTGATTTCCTCAGAACCATGTAGACAACTTGCATTTACAACACTCTTCGGTAACGAGTTCCACACAATTACTACACACCACATAATGAAACAGATGCTGCTGTTATTAGTATTTGTATTATTATTTTCAGCCTTTTATTAGCTCCATGGCCTAGCTGTCGAATTGGAAGAGAAAGTCTATTCCTATCCACTCCACATGTGATCTTGCAGACTTCTATCACACTTGCCCATGAAGCCTTTTCCAAGTTGAGGAGTCCCAGCCTACTCACATGTTGCTATGGTATTTCTGGTGACCCTTCTCCCCTTTGTGGGAATCTTCTCCAGTTGAAATTTAGTCTTTTGGACATGAAGGGGTTTAGAACTTCATCACTTTATATTTATTTACACTAATTCATTCACCATTTTATTGCCCATTCACTTCATCTTTGGTAACTCTCCAGTCAGTCTTTCTGTAGACTTGTCCTGTAACCTCTTTCACAGTCATTTTAATTTCAGAAATAGCTGCTAACTCTCCCACCATCACCACCAAGGGATATCATAAGGAAATCCCATTTTTTTTTCCAGTGAATAGTGATACAAAGAATTAATTTAGCTTCCCTGTCTTGCTGTCTCTGAGTGCTCCTCTTAGATCCTGTTTGTTGAACTGGCTCTACAGACATTCACTTTGAGTTACCTACTGGAGCAACACTTTATTAACTAAAACAATATAAACAGCTGGTCAACATTCGGAGTGTATCAGGAACCTAATTGTTTAGGCCAGCCTCAAACATACATTAAAACATTACTGTGAGGAAGTCACTACTTTGAATTGGTCTTCTATGCTTATATCAGCAGAGGTGATGGTTTCTTTCACAGTTCTCTAACACAAAAGCATATTCTAAATTCTCTGCCTAAGAAACAATATGTTCATTTGGAAAACAAATCAAAGAGGATT